ACAAAAAAAAACTTTGTGTTTATGGTTTGATTCAGTTTTAAGGAAGTTTTATTTATTTATGTACATGACATCTTTTTTTTGTTTTTGTTTTCTTCCTTCTCTTTTGAAAGGTATGACACCGTTATCAGATTAATTGCTGTTTACAATTGATACGGAAAATAATACAGTTTCAGCTTAGAAACTTATTGCTTACACTCACGCAATTATTCAGCTAAAAACAGGTCACTTGTCACCTGTGAATTTATCATTGCTATATTTGACCAAAAAAAACTGTTTGCTACATATTTAAGATAATTTCTGCAACATGCTTTTCTCTAACCCTGTTGGCTCTTGATTACTTTAAGGACGTTTTCGGAAGTTTTCATGTAGACATATAGGCAAAATTAAAACTGTTCAATAGAATTTCTTTAAACTTGGCATGTTGATAGAATATGATATAATATAGAAACATTTTAAGTGAAACAAATTTGGGGGTCCCGAACTCCCGAAAACGTCCTTAGGATATACAATTAATCAGCCACATAGGTTAACAACTTATATATTTATGTTGTCGACAGTTTTAATATCTTTCATATGAGGATGTCCAATTTCATTATGATTAATTTTTTTATAATGATACGGTATGGCAATTCAACTGTGTCTTTTTCAAGGTTTCCACAGTAACCCTTAAACTAGGAAGCTGAAACATAAACCGAGTGTGTTATAAATATTGCTTAATGAATGGACATTAAAAATCAAAATGACATGCAAACCCTCTTACCAGAAGAAAATACGAACATGCATTATAAATGTTCCTGACTCGGTAGCCATTTTGTCAAGTTTGCAGTTAAACCAAGAGCGAAACCACTTAACGTCTTGTCTTTGCTACTGAATTTCATAAATAGACTGGTCCTGCTTCCCTTTTTATAGAGCTGTCATTATCAATTTTGCGGATACAAAAAAAAAAAACAAAAAAAAAAAAAAAAACACTGTTGTTGGTCACGGATATGCTCTGTATGTAGTTCTAGCAGGTAATAACCTGTTAATCAGTTTTGTATAATCTCGAACTCAAAATGTATTAATTACAAAACGATAATAAAATATATAAATGCTAAAGACATCGCCTTGTCCCTTCCGTCAGTACTTAAAACATAGATTATAACACTTTCTTAAACGAATCCTGATTATGCAGTACGGAAATGGTATGTATACGTTAGGAATACTTAGAAACAAATAATCATGTATTAGAAGATTATTAAACTTATATAATGATAGTGCTTATATTTGTTTAAAAAACTCTCTCGTGTTATTTATGTATAAAATGTTGGAGATATAACCAAAATAAGAGAAAGATATCTGTAAAGAAATATTTTACCGACAGAACCAAAGACCTATCGTAAATTTACTTTTTTTGAAGCTGCTTTTATAAAGAAAGAATTCTTATTTATGAAATGATACATTTAAAATGATGGGAAAATAGTAACCTAGTTTGTAATATCAAGCATACATTATAATTAACCCACTATAAGAACGCCGGGAAATACAAAAGCACTAGGGTCTGTTTTAAACTCTTTATTTACCGTTTAATTTATAAAAGGAATTGTAAAACTTTAACTTAAATAGCCTTTTGCTGTTTAGCTTTTTCATTGTTGGCCCTTTTAAATTCTTTAAAAAATTTTTACAATTAAGTCCGGCATTTTTTCCCAAATTTTATCTTTTTCCGACTTGGTTTACATTGATTAAAAAAATTTATCCCCCGGGGTTTTAAAAAATAAATTAAAAAAGGTCCCCTTTTCAAATTTTATCAATTAAATTTGTTTGGGATGGGTGAGAACCAAAAAAAATAAATGGGTTAAGCAAAATTTTCAGGGGCCTGATTTCTTTTTTTTGCAAATCCCGAAAGAAAAGTCCAAATTTTCTCGAAGGGGTTTACCCCCCCTTTTCAAAATGTAATCATGCCGCCGAAAAAATTAAAAGGGGAAAAATCACTGCGTAAAAGATTGTCAAATGACAGGCGCATTAATTTTCGTAACGAAAAAAAATAGTTCCCGATTGGTCGAAGATTTCTAAATATTGTGTTACTCTTATAGATATACATGCTAATATTCAGCCACATTCTTATTTACTGTCAGTGTTAAACGAACAAAATTTTCGAAAATTATGAAGGGTTACAAACTCTAAATTTAGAATAATATGGTATTCTTCAGGCAGTTATCATATAACTCCCCGTGGTCGAGGGGTTTTAACACTTTCGCTTTGGAAGCGAGAGATCTGGAGTTCAAATCCCAGTAAAGGCTTACCATGTTTTTTTTTTTATTGTTTAATTGTTTAAGCCAAATAAACATTGAATTGAATATCAGTGTTGCAAATAAGTCTTATAGCCAATTCACTATAGTTATAAAACAGCTTTGGTGACACTTAACAAACAAATTGGTTTTATAATCTCACAACCGTCACCTTTCTGACATTCTGAGACCCAAACAAATTCAGCGCCTTTTGTGCTTTGATTTTTATAATGGTTTCTTCACCTTTATATATCAATTCAGAAGTACACTGATGATGTTTTGATGATTTGTTTCCCTTCCAATGAGTACTTTGATCTTCGTTCTTACTTTAGTGTCTTCATTACAAGTGTCTCGCAATTGCAAGGTAGTTGATTTTGTTTTGATGATATAAGATTTTTTATAAGAAGTTTTATTAATACATATATATACTAACATGAGTTATCTTGGCAATACCCAACAGCGAATCTTTGCCTGAAATTTCAGTTCAGTTTTTGAATTAGTTTTGATTGTTGTAAAATTTTCATACTTAAAGACAGTAGTAATTCTATAAATATATACACGAATAATTGGTGCCAAATCAATGTTGCCTAACTTTATGTTGACGGCGAGGATGAATCTAAGTAAAATAAATACATTTAAAGTGACAATTTGTATTTAAAGGCGGTTATGATATATATCTTAATACTCTTCTGTACAACATATTGTATTATAACTGGTAAACAGAGAGTTTTATATTGCTTCTATCATGGTAGGCAAGCAAGCAGGTTTTTCCAATACCAGTATAATACGGCATGTCTACACAGTACGCTGATAAGTTAACTCGAAATCTTTGTGAACATTACAATTGGATAATAGAGAAAAGTTTGTGGAATAAAGAAATGGAGTTTTACTGATATATATTTTTTGCTGTTAAAAAAACAAGACAAGAAAAATGGGAATAGAAAATAAGCAATTTCATTGCACTTGTAACGCGCTTAAACATTTTCAGTTTCAATTTTCAATTTATTGGCAATCAGCAATATTTTTGAATTTGGCCATTTACAAACTCACAGAAAAGTTATGACAAAGACTATACACATAAATAAGATTGAAAATAATGAAGTACAGTATACGATGACGAGACAAGTAAACTTTAACAAGGTGTTCGGTTTTATATGAATATATAGTCATGAACAGTTCATGTGGACAACCAGTTACTGTTCGATTTATTGATTTACATCGCGACTGTGTTGATTTTGCTGTGAATATATTTGAATATGTGTTCCCGACCCTGGCGATAGCAGTTACTACGATAAATATTCTCATTATTATAGTATTTACAAAACCACATATGAGATCTCATACAACGTTTATTTTAACACTCATAGCGTGTGTTGAGATCATTAATATCTTATGTCCAACAAGTATGTTCTCATTTTTATATTTGCGAGGGAATTATAAAGAATATCTAACAAGTGAACAAATTCAATGGTCTTACATACTTGGAAAAATATGTGTGGATATGTTTAATATGATATCATTGTGGCTGACAGTTTTGCTGGCATTTGTACGATGTAAGTGCATAAATTCACAATTTATTTCAAGAAAAGTACATTCCACTAAGCAAATTGTAATTTATGTGACACTTATTCTAGTAATTGTAATAGTAGTCAATGCTCCAGCGTTTTATATCTTTGAATTCTATTCAATTGAAAAAGTGGACCCGATAACAAATTTGACGAGAGAGATAGGAGTTCTGGTGGAATCTCAAGGCATTTATTTCCGGTCATGTTCTGGAAGGAAAATTCACTTATTTATAGAAATGATAACTGACTCAATCTTACCATGTATTATACTAATTTGCTGTAATGCTAAAATCATCATGGCATTACGAAAAGCTAAAACAACTCGTACAATTCTACGGCATAAAGAATCATTCAAAAACCCAAGTGGTGAGAAACAAACATGTAAGACTATGAAAAGTACGTCCAGCGAATTAATAAATTGCTCAGCCACTGGATCGAAAGAAAACACCTTTTCTGACAATACAAAATATATGGCAAGCGTTTCAGTTGGCAATGACAGTAAAGATGTAATACAAAATGGTACGGGGAAGAACGGTTTAATGGAACATAAAGTACTTTTAAGAAATGTTAAATTGCATAATTTCTGTACTTTCCAAACAAGACATTTACGTGCACGTATGTATAGTGATTCAACCCTAGATAAACTGGATAAAGAGAGTGAACGGACGTCTCTACTGATACTACTAGTTTCAACTATTATTTTACTACACGAGTTGCCTCTTGCTGTATTAAATATTGTTACTTTAGCGCGTTCCATAGACAAGCCTTTGCCAATGTCACGTGGTTGTTTATCAATCATCATCTTATTATGGCAGTTTATCACATACCCGGCTATTTTTCTGATTTACGCATGCATGTGCAAAGCATTCCGTAGAGAGCTTATTAAAACATTGACTTGTTGGTGTAAGAGGCATAATTCTAAACGGCAGATCAGGCGGAAACCTGCATCATGTCCAGCCTCTATTAAAACAAAACAAGTGGAAAATGGCGGGACAAATGTGAAATGTCATTTCAGGAGAAATTCCTTGTGATTTACGTCGTATGAATAGAATTTACTTCTTCTGAAAGTGTATAAGGCATTTTATCTAATGGATAGAGCAAAGGGAAGTTGGACCTTAGCCTTTTTCTACAGAAGTCGCTGTCGCTTTTATGAAAGAAAGGAAACTTTGAATTTTAACAAAGACATTGCATATCAGTATTTCTTTGATTACAGAATTGTACATGATAAAAACTTGTTGTGCTATATTAGCATTACTACACAAATTACTACATACATTTAATTACACACGTTTTTGTGTGTGCAGAGCGTGAATGGAGATATTTTTTCTAATAATGTCTTTATAATTATGTCAATTATCAGATGTAAACTATTCTGAAATAAATGAAAATATCTTTGATTATTTTAGGATGGTATATTTCTAAAGTCTTCTTTAGAATTTTATTGTGAAAAAAGAACTTTGTTCTGTCTTTTGATAACATGTGAATCCGCTATTTTGTCATTTGAAATGCCGAACATTTTATCGAATTTAAGAGCCTTTACTGCAGCCTGCAAAGGTGTAAATTAATATGTGGATAACGAACCCCAATATATTGGTAAATACCGCATGTTTCGGATATATTATGTAAACCCGAAACCACTCTCCCCGTCCTTAATACTTAGATTTATGTCACGTGGAAGGGTATTCCCATTGTGACATCATTGCTTGAGAAATTACCAAAATGGCAGTTCAATAAAATTCACTTACACCAAATAACACAATAAAGATAAAAAAGTACTGCTCATTTTGATAAAAAGTAAAGAATTATAGCAATCCAATTCAATTTCGAAAAAAAAACATCATGAGGTAAAACTTTGTTTTCTTTAAAAAACATGAAATTGGTATACGTATTTTATTAACAAACTATTTACCCGCATCTATATTATTGCATCGATGGAAAACAATGTTATTGTATGTAATTGTTGATCATAAATACCGTCATTTCGTCGTAAAAAATGTTTTTGTGTGATTTTTTCTGTAAGTGTTCCAATCAAATCTTAATACAAAATCGACCAGAAAAGGGACGACATTGTCGAATTGTTCAATATTTCTGGCGCTGTGGATATTGAATGCAAGTTCGTTACCTTTAAGCAAGCATAATTTTTGAGATAACAGAAGACCACAATTAGTATCGAAGACACTGTTTTATCAAGAAATGTTAACAATTTCCCCAAGAAGAATTTTCAGGACAACAAAACCCGAATAATGATTTTTGGATGCTTATATTCCGAAGTCCAAGAAAGATAAAGATTATCTATTAAGTAAAGATACATGTTCCGGGTTGTTTTATCATCCAGTATTATCGTTACTGTCAAATTCCAAGTTATTCCCGTGAGGATTTTTCTAAACTCGAAGAGTTTTAAACTTGATCAATAACGAGACCTTAATTTACAGAGAGAGTTCACTGCTAGTAGTAAAACATAATCGTACGAGATGCAAGGCGAGCGCTAACATTTCTTAAAGACCTTTAGTGTCTCAGAAATGCCATCAATTTTTGTTTCACAAAAAATCAGTTGAACCATCTTTTTTTCATTTGTTGCTTGTAGTCAATATGTACAGTTATAGTGAATCAGTATGGAAGTCAAAATACTACTATATTTACATTTTGCTACTTTTTTAACAAATAATTTCACATTTATCACTACTTTCTTTCCGGTAACAAGTATCTAATATTCTCTAAAACCATTATTTAAATATTATACAATTCATGTTTGACCTTCCTAATGAAGTAAAAATCTATTTGTTTCTGAGGCATAATGTGCCTTTAAGCCACATACAGAAGATCATAAAATAGCCCTTTTTATTGAGGAAACGTGAAGTATGATTGCACTGTATAATATATTCAATACAGAAACGTCAGGCACATTTGGTGTTAAAGGTTTTTACAAGATCAAGCATACTCAACTATCTAAAATTGGATAAATATGATTAAAGTTAGATACTATGCAGAAATATTCTGTATATATAATATTAGTAAATTATACTTTAGACAGAGACATATTATTTTAATATGTATCATTGTTTCGCTAAACATCAACTGCATTAAAATTCAAATCTAAACTGTTCACATTTGGCCATGATTATCCAGGAATTTCTAAAATTTTAGAAATCTTACTGTGAAAGGATTTACGTCGAGAAACAAACGTATATATATTTGATATTTGATAAACACATATACAAACACAGGAAAAACGTATGTATAAAATTCGTAAAACCTTTCAAATGATTTCAATTTACAAAGATATTTACTATTTAAGTACAAATCTTTTATGCGAAAAATTTTGACGCGTTCACTGTCCGCCATTTTTAATCTCTTGACCAGCATCAATCACCTAATATAACTCAATAGGAACTTTGAAAATTAGCCCTGGTATAAACATGCTTGATGCAAATAACTTTTCGTAAAAGAAATTTCTACCATTTGTCATATGAAAAGTGCATCACATAGTGTAAAGATACATTGGTTGTTATTTGTGTAATTTACTGTAATTCATTTTTAACCAAGTCCCTGCAGGAGCAAAGTATAAGATGTTGGCATTCGCAGAAAAACGTGCATAGGGTATGCCAAGAAACATACTTGTACCTATTTGATATGTACATACGTATTTCCTGAACAGTTTTCTATTTTATGATCAATAACAATTTAAGCTAAAAACCTTAAGGGTATTTTTATAACCGACTGATATAAAAGTCACTTTGAGATGATGAATGACCTGTCATGCAATCGCCGCTGTGATCTTGTTATCATGCAATGAAACTATTTCGCAATATTATTGAGACTATAGAAGTTCACTCAGTTAGCTATTGAAAAACTGGAACTCTTACAAAAAGTTAAAAGGTTATCTACGTTGCGTCGATACGAATGATAAGTATAACACAGTGAATTAATTCTACAATC